TCCTTTGTTCTAACAATAACTAGCAATTGCTGGTACTAGTGAAGTCTTCAACATAGTAGTTATGTAGTCACCAAGCATACTGCTAAGGACAGGATTAGGATCTGTAACTTCTAGTCCACAAAGTCGGAACTCCTTCTTTTGAAAACCATGTTGATCCTCAATCTTCCATAATCATAATCTCAAACCTTCCTTTATAAAATGATGTTACAACATCATTTAGGACATCAACCTTTCTTCACAAATCCCAATAATTCAGTTCTTAATTTATCAACCAAAGAGATTATTAATATTGATAGTATTTTTAAGAAAAGATCACAAAAGATTACATCTTCTGCGACTCATTTAGGTTGATACAGCCACTTGAACACTATAGAGAGAAATAAACTCTCAAAAACATTTGAATCATCAGTTCAGGTAGTAGATTTGCATCCATACCTCAGATAAGTACTCAGCTCCTGACAAGGTCTTTATCATCAGTAACATGCACATCTTCACAAGATCAAACTTATACTTAGCTCCCGATAAGATATTTGTCATGAGAGGAAAAACTTCCCCACACACACAACTGCAGATGATACTCCTTTTCAACAGATGTTAGAGGACTTGAGCTGACATCCTTCTTCTTCATCGTTCAACATAAGAGGATCCTTTGAACATTCTAGACTTGGTCAGAGACTGGTCTTCAGCTCCATCATGATCAAGTATTCCAACTCTGAACTTCACAGGTGAAAAACAATACTCACCTCATGATCTACACAATAACTTCCTTTTTAGAGGAAGTACTCACCTAGAGATGATGTCCCGACATCAGATATGACATCATCCGTTCTTACTATGGTTATGGGGGTAACTTCTATAGTAACTTATAATCAACTCTTGTGGGGGTTACCACAAGGAAACAAACCAACAACAACTGATCAATCTTCAGGATCAGACTACCAACATATGCAGGGGAATGCGTGAGCCACATCTCAATAAGCTTTTCTTTAGACCTCTGACTTTGAGTTGATGGATGCCATTTTTTTTACCTACAGAGGAAGTTTCCTCTATTAGGTCTCTGGAACAGACTCTGCTAGGCATGACAAAAAGACTTTTCAGAGCATATGTCTCCCTTGATTCTTCAAAAACAATGTCCTTCAAATTTTAACATCTTCAAAGATATCACGACATTCTGTCTGACATCATATCTACCCTTGACAGGGGAATATTTTTCAATAACTTCTGAGGATACACAAAGAGAATCACCAACTCTTTTCCTCAAGAGAAATTAAAACAATATTCAAGAGCATCAAACACTGTGGTTGGATCACAATACTCCTCTTCAAACATAACCTGTTATATGGCCACAAACAGGATTCCATGAATCTGGTTCCTTTGATCAGAAGGATCTTCCATATACGAGCTCATCTCATATGCATAAAGGGTCTGGTGGAGATTCCTTTATGAGTTCTTCTCAAGATCATGGAGCTCAACCTCTATACTCCCATAATCCTTGGTCAGAAATAAACTGACACATGGAGTAGATAAACTGTTGATCGTGTCCTAATCAACCTGCACAAACCAGATGCCTCCTCTTTCAGATCAGGAGTAGGTTCCAAACAAAAAGTATTCAAAACATTTTCATTCAGTACCCAAAGCATCTCTTCTTCAACTGGTAGTTGCATAATGTTCTAACATCCCATAAAACATCAGTTCCTTCTTCTTGAAACACACCATCCTTGACAGTCTTCAAGGTCAATATGCAGAAGTATATGAGCATCATTAATAAATTGATTCTCATTAACCTTATTGATAAATGTCTTTATGAGTGAACCTGAGGAAAATCTCAAGTATCTTTGACACTTTTAATACGGTTTAAAATGTCAGCATATATTCTGTTGAGGGTAACAACCCTAGTATTTTTCTCATACTTTCAGGGTTATATCAGAAACCATGCAGCGGAATATAACGAACTCCTCAACAATATTCAGACACAATGCTTACACCACTATCCATGTACAAGCAAGGTAACCTAGGATTGAAAAATAAACCCTACATACAACAACTTCCCACTAAGTTGCAGGCCTGATGGCAATAACCAGGAATAATACCTGTCACATATAACCAATGATCCTTGCCAAGAGATCATCCAAACAATAATATGAATTGTCCAAGTTCATACCTCTTTTCAGTAAATACTTTCTTCCTTGCCCATGACTAGAAAGTACCTTCCCAGAATCTCACCCAGAGCAGATAAGGATGCCTGCTCTGATACCAATTGAAATTCTGGTATAACAGACTCAGATGTCATACAAGGATGTCGAGACATCTGATCTGACATAAACACACAGGAAAAATAACACTGAAAAGATAAAGAACACACCAGAATTGTTTACCCAGTTCAGTGTACAACAACACCTACTCTGGGGGCTACCAAGCTAGGAATGAAGTCCACTATCAGCAGTATCAATTTGCAGACCCTACAGCCAACACACTCGTTGACAATCTACGCACTTAATCACTACCCAATGACCCTTCTACCTAGGTCCTCCCTAGATATGGAATATCCCCATCCCACTTCCAATCATCGCAATGATGTCTAGCAGTCAACACCTCAGTCACTACATCAACGACCCTTCACCAAGATTCTGATCACACAGATAGACAATTTAGAAGACACACTTCCATGACAACCTAGCTAAGTTTATAAGACAAACTCCAATGTTTGTTAGATTTTGCTCCTAACTAAGAACACATCCTGGAGTTGCTTCAAAGCTTCCTCCAAGAACAATACACCTCTTACCTACAGGCTTCGAGGTGAACGTTCCACAACCCAGGAGGTTTACCTTGACAAAACCCTAGACTTCTACATCTTAAGCCGTGTCTTTTCTGGGTTACAAACCCTTCTATTTATGACATGTTATCCAACTGGTTTTGGTCCTTCAATCACAACAAATCAGCTGTAACAAACTGTAGAAAATGCTGCCCCAAGAAAGGTCTCCAATCTTTCCTTTCCTAAATAATCTCCTTATTTAGAAAGTCTTCATTCTCCTTAATTTCTGATTGAATTTTTTGGACCTTTAAATATGCGCCACATAGGATGCATAATATTCTCCTGAATATTATGCCAATATTGAGAACAAACTGAATCTCATTAATCCAACTCAGCAGGAGCGATGTCAAGACATCTTCTTTGACATGTTGTTCCAGTTGTTGAAAAAGTTTAACACAACATGTTTTGACATTGTAATAGGACTTCTTGTTGTACATGTTCTTCTTATCCTATTCTTCATTGCTGTTATTATTTGTTTTACAAAAAATTAAGTCAATCCTAAAATAAGAGAACTAACCGACACAATGAATTAAGTGGTATGTTGAGAATGTAATTCTTTGTGTCGAAGCATGTTGCTCGACATAAGCAAGGAGTTGCCAAAATACGAAACACTAAGTATTGTCGAAATGTCGAAGTGTATCTTGAAAGAATTTTGAGTTAGCTTTATTTGTTTGTTTTAAGTTGAGTTAGTTATGTTAGTTGGAGATTTCTTGGTGTGCAACCAATCTCGGCTTATAAATAGGGAGTAACTCTATTATTGTAAAGAGTGAATAATATTGCAGTTTGCAAAGATAAGAATTGAAATTTCTCTACATAATTCAAAACTCTTCTTTTTCCTTTTTCGTTGAAACCCTAATTTCTCTTTCTTCCCCAAATTCATCTTTTCTTTTCTCCTTTTATTATTGATTATGTAGTAGAATCATCTTGTAATCAAGGTTGGTTGATTCATTCGAGTAAAGAATAAGATGCAAAATTGATCGGTGTGATTGATTCTTAATCATTAAGATTGATTCGAAATTCTCTATAAATTTGAGTGTAATTCCAACACATATTACTTTTTTTTTACTTAACTTTTTTCAAAATGAAATAAAAATAAATATATAAACAAATAAATTACTAGCTCTACACATATAACCAAAATACTCAATAACTTTTTTTTTATATATATTTCAAACAAAATCTAAATGTTTCATATACTTTTTTTTATTTTAATATTGAAAATAATATTTTTTAACAAATAAATTATGTTACAAAATATAGATTAAAACCATTGAAAAAATAAATTTATTTGAACACCTATAAACTAGCCCTGTTAAATCAGTTAACTATATGTCTAAATCGGATAACTATATGCTGAGACATTTGATTGTAAGTGCATGGATTTAAATCTATAACATTCCATTCATTTATTTTTAAATGTGAAACTCAAATCATCTATTAGAAAAAAAAACAACTAGGTTCGATATTCCAACTTAATCAACTCTACAGTCTATTAATATTAATATGTATTTGGTTATTTGAAAAAATGGATGGTTGTGTCTTTGGCCAATTTAGGTGGTTTGTAAATAGTCTTTGTTATGGATTATAGTTTATGTTTACTTCGTTATCATTATTGGTTATTCATTGCTTACTATCGACTAAGTCTCATTCAACGTCTCGAATTCGTGCCAAGATGCTCTATACCAACTAAAGAAAGCTTGGACGCGAGCTAGACAGGGACCATTATGAAATTCAGGCTACTGATCCCACAGAAATTGGATCCCGGAGGCAGATGACGGGTTTAAACTTTTAGCAACTACTGTAGTAAAATGCGCAAAATGTTAAACTCAAGTTTATCATGTGCAAAATGTCTCACTCAAATTTATCATGATTGTTACTCATAAGAACTCATTGGTTCTTATGCAAGCTCTCTCTAACAATACATATGTGTACATATAAAAGATGGTAAACATTCACTCTAACAATCTTATATTCTATATTGAGCACGAATTGAAAACGCAAATTATTGAAATTGAAAAAGTTTCAATTGGTTTTGTAAGTACAAATGAACTAGTGCTGAAATAATCTATTGTAAATAAGCTGAAAGCTCAACATATTTAATAGAAATACATAATAGAGGAAGGGAATGCTATCGTGTCTCCTTAACGAATTGAAAGATACTGCTAACTACAAGATAACTAAACTCAATCTAGACAAGTGGGACTGTTTTGTTGTTATTAGAACCAGATTGCTCCAACTCTCCGTTGGCTTCAACTTCCTCTTCATTCTCACCTGACATCTCCTCCAAAGATTTTCCATTTGCCTCCGGCACCAAGAAAGTAAACAAGAATCCCAGAATGTTGACCCCACCCAACACAAACAGTGATTTCTTAACACCAATACCCGCAGGATACCCCGCATCCGCTTTACTCTTATCCTCGTTTTGTGCCAAGTATAAGAAACCAAATGCACCAATTATAGCTCCGAGCTTCCCTGCCGCAGATGATATTCCATGGCAAGTAGAACGAAATCTAGCAGGAAAAATCTCTGCAGGCACAACAAATGTGGTAGCATTAGGTCCGAAATTCGCAAAGAAAAAGGTCAAGGAATATAATACCACAAATCCAATGCGGTTTTCCTTAAGAGTCCAGTGATCGTAAGGAATGGCAAGCGCAAACATGAATACTGTCATAAAGAAAAATCCCATCAATTGAATTGCAAATCTTCCTATCCTGTCGATGAAAGCAACTGTAAACCAGTAGCCTGGAACCGTACTGCAAAGAGCGATAAGTGTTTGAGCTCTTGCGATTTTGTAAACCTCCTCGAGTGCGTTCATGGTTTGAGCAGGAGGTATCCAACCAACTGCACTGAAAATATCCTTCTGGAATAGATTTTGGCTATAAAATGCTATATCAAGCAAGAACCAAGTGATTGATGTACCGAGAAGATGTAGTCCGTGGCGACTTAGAAACTCGTTTGAGAACAAGCCGAATTTCTCCTTCTCTTCTTTCACTGGTTCTTCGGCTTGAATCTCAACCTGTAGAACCTTAGACATATCTGCTGCTGCCTGCGCCGTGTTCTTAGCGACTAAAGCGGTGTAACGGGCAGTTTCTGGCATCTTCATCCGCCAATAGTAAGTCAGTGCAGCCGGGAGTGCTCCTACCATCATGATTATCCTCCAAACGTAGTCTGCTTGTGGAACGGTTGAACCAAGTGGATCAACCGCGTATGACGGAGAATCATAGTTGGATTTGAATATAGCTGCAATTATGATTGCAAATATACCACCTGCCAAAATTCCAAAACCCTGCATGGCAAAGACTGCAGCAATGAAAGCGCCACGAGTTTTCTTATTAGAATATTCCGACATTATAGTAGCCGAAAGCGGGTAGTCTCCACCAATACCAAACCCAAGTCCGAAGCGGAAAAAGCAAAGAGTTGTCATGACTTGTTTTGGAGTGTGTCCGAAAGAAAGGCCGCAACCAAGTGAACATATTACCATAATCAAAAGTGTCATGCCATACACTTTTTTCCTCCCCAACTTATCACCAAGCCAGCCAAAGAAAAGTTGCCCTGAAAGTGTACCACAGAAAGCAACCCCATTTACTGCAGCGGATACATTCGGAGGCAAAGTTCCTGGCTTCGCTGCACCGTCAACATGGTAGTATATACGACCGAGCAACTTGGTAACAAGGGATATGCAGAATAGATCATATGCATCTGTGAAGAAGCCCATACCAGCTATGATGATTGCGGTGAAGTGGTACATTTGTGTCTTTGCCACATCAAGTGCATTTAGCACCTGCATTTGGTCCTTTGCCATGACTTTTCAAGCTAGAGTCACTTGTCTCTTTACCTTTCTCTCCTTGTCTTCCCTACAAAAGTGGAACCATGAATTATATTTGATTAATGGAGACATCTTTGTTTTGAAAAGAATACTACTACATAAACATTTGCGATAGAAAACATAAAGGAAACATGAAAATAAAATAAAATATTAAATAGATGAAGATCCAAACCAAAGATAAAAGAAAAAATATAGTAGAAAGGTTTTAAATATCTATCGGTGGCGTAAAAGGTTTCGCGATTTCGGTTGTACATGTGTTTAAACTTTAGATGCTGATTGCAATCGTTTCAATGTAATTAACCACATTTTATTCTTTTTCACAAGAAGAGTGAAAACGTATCGATGTCGGTACCTTCAGATACCATTTTGTCGCTGTTGTTTTTCGCGATAAATTAACCTACTATTTTTAAAACCTTGAGTAATGGTAAAATCATGAGAAGTTATTTGAATTATAATGCTTAGATCCAAAGCAATAACATAAATGAAAAGGATTAGTTCACCGATTTATAATGTAAATAATTGATACAGTAACTACGACAACGGTCAGTGTCGCAACATTTAGACGGATCGAAATCACAAAACTCTTTAAGAGATTGCAATAAATCCACAAGAGTTATTTAAATTTGGATGTGTTAGTTACTGACAAAATTCTGAGATGATTATTACAAATCGTCATGTCGAGACATGATCCATCAATGCATAGAAAGCGACATGAAATACAGATGATAATAATGCTATTGATAGGAGATCATAATAATGCCATTAACGTAAAATAATAATAAAAAGAGAAGAAAAAAACGAACTAACCTTGAAATACAAGAAGAAATTATAGAGTGAACAATAGAAGAACAGGAAGATACTATTATATTGTTGCTGTAAAAAGAAATTATAGATAATGAAGAATAGGTGAGTGTGAGAGAGAAGAAGAGAGAAAAAAAAATTTATTGCACACATAAAATAAAAGATACACACATTCTAATTTGTTAACAAATATTCTGACATATTCCTCTAGTGATAACGAAATATTCGCGAAAATAAATACAATAACTTTTAATTATACATGACTTTTAAAATAAAAAAAAAATTAAGGTTGAATTTGAAATAATTTGAATAATTAAGAGTTATCTTATAAATAAAGTACATATCTGCAAAACATTTATTTTTTTAATTGGAATAAAATCGTCAAATCATTAAAATCAGAAACCGATTCATTCCGTACCTATCTTTTATTTCTATTTATGAAATCATGAATATTTAATAATTCTTCAAAATGTGGAAAATTTAATTATTTCTTATTAAGGATATTTTTTTCCCTTGTATTGACTATTGTAGTAGCATATTAGAATATGCTTCTTTTCTTTTTTACCTAATTAGGAATTGAAGTAAATTTTCATAATGTAGGGATTCATGATAAATATGCTAAATATGAACAAGCTTATCTGAATTCGATTGATGTTTATTCACTGTGCCTATTATATATATAAATAAGTATGAGACATGATAATATTTTTTTTATTATGTTTGATGCAGAAACTAATTGTAATATACAAAAAAAAATAGAAAAATTATATTATAATACAAATTATATTATTTTTAGCCGATTCATCAACATATAAAATAAAAAAGAGAAAAATTATCTATTAATTATATTTTTTTCTCTTCTCATTATTTAATATATTGATTTATAAATATCAAAAAAATTTATATCAACAGAACAATATTATACAAAAAATAATATAATTTTATCGGTTGTCTAAATATATTAAATAAATTAGAGTAAAAAAACTATTTCTTCATCTTTTTTCTCCTTATTAATTAATATTTTGATTCACAAATATTATATTTTATATATCAATAAATAATATTATAGTAAAAATTATATTATTTAGTCTGGTGCATAGACATATCAAGAAAAATCGAGAAAAAAATCATTCAATATATTAACCATCAAACACAGTATAATACAAAAAATTGACTTATATAATCTTGTATTATTTTGTATTGTCTTGTATTGTTATGTACGGTCTAATAACTCATAATTCTTACTTAAAATAGTTTTCCTGTAATAAATAATTTTTATTTTATTAAATCATAATTTTTTCTCCTCATAAAATAAAATAGACCTCTCACACTTTTTATAACAATTAAATAACTCTTTATTTTTATTTAAAAAAACTTGATTCTAAATATTTCTTTAAAAAAATCACGTTTCTTAATTAAAAAACAATTTCTTCTTATTTTTAAATAAATTTCACTTTTTTTTTATACATACTATTAATGTAAGTGCTGTGAATTTGTTCATAAATTCATTCTTTTTAATTTATCGTCATTTTAAATTTGTATGATTCGATATATTCTATCGAATATTGTTTTTAGTATAAAAAAAAATTCACTTTATTATTTTTTTAAATTAAATCATATTCTATTCACTTAATGTAAATAGTAAAATTGTTTCATTTCTAAATACAACATAAAATAATACTCAAAACGTGTATTATAAATAGAATAAACACTACAAAATATATTGTCATTTGCGACGTGCAAATCACGTCACAACATTCAAAAACATGTCAGAATTTTTTTTTGCGATGTGATTTATTATATCGTAGGAGAGCGTGTGGCAATTTTGTTGTGATGTAAATTACATGTCACAAATTTTTATAAAGACAAAATATTCATTTTGGTCCCTTAACTATAGGTCATAGTTCAATTTGGTCCCTTAATTTTTTTCCGTACCAAGTTGGTCTCTTAAGTTTCAAAACGTAACCACGTTAGTCCTTCCGTTAGTGAAACGTTAGTCAAATTCAAAAAATAGGCTCCATGTGGCATTTGTCTTGCTGAAGTGGCTTGCTGGAGGCTAGATGGTAAAGAATAAGGAAAGACAATCTCCAAAAGCAAACGAAAGGATATACATGTTCATTTTATCCAAGTCCAAAATCAAAACCAAAAGAAAGGTGATGAACGAGAATCTACAGAGGCGATTTTAAAGGGGTTTGCGAAGGTGCTTGAGAAGGTGATTGCGTAGGTGATTGCGAAGGTGATTCCAGGTAATTATTCTCATACTCGTTGGTAATTGGATTAGGGCTTCGTATGCTGCAATTTAGGGATTATGAATATTTGTTCTGGGATTTTGGGATTTAGGTATTCTATTATTGTTTATTCTGGTATTTAGGGATTTAGGTATTCCATTCATTGTTTGTTATGGTTTTTAGGGATTTAGGCATCTTATTCTTATTTGTTCTATGTGTCTTCGTAACTGAATGTTTGTTAAGAGATTTAGGTTTAATGGATGAATTTCTGAAACTCGTAATTCACCACAGTGGTGAATTCGTTGATCCAGAACTTAGTGTCTATGTAGGAGGCTTGGTATCTGATTTGTCAGTAGATGTTGATAGGTGGAGTTACTTCGAGCTAGTTGGTGTATTGAAAGACTTAGGTTATACGGATAATATAGAGAAAATGTATTACAAATATCCACAATTTGGGATGAATGAACTATTTGATGACAAAGGTGCTCTAGAAATTGCGAACCTATACAGGGTGCACCATAGTGTTCATGTTTACATTCAACACAGTTTGTCTCAACCTGAGTATTGTGATGGTCTTGTTGAGGAGCCTGAGAACATTGTAGATGAGATGGAGGAGTTGCTTAGCAAGTTGCATGATGACATTGAAGAAAAGTTAAAGGAGTCTGTTGTTGTTGTGGAAGAAAGAAATGTTGGGTTGAATGATGATAATGTTGTTGTGGAAGAAGGTAATGTTGGATTGAATGATGATAATGTTGTTGTGGATGAATATAATGATGGATTGAATGATGCAAATGTTATTGTGGAACAAAGTAATGCTGGACTAAATGATGCAAATGTTGGGCTGGAAGCAACAAGTGTTGAAGTGGAGTCAAACAATTTTGAGGTGGAGCCAAACAATTTTGAAGTGGAGTCAAACAATTTTGAAGTGGAAGTAAATAACGAAAGTAATTGATAATCATAACTGCAGTAGGGGGTATAATGTGAAGATGTTAAGCACAAATTGGTTGAGCAAGAGGATTCAGAATGCATTGAAAAACAATCCTAGGTTGAAGGTTCAGGACATTAAAGAAAAGGCGTTGAGGAAGTGGAATGTAGGGGTGAACAAGACTAAAGCAATAAGATCAAGAGTGGATGCAAGGAATAGGGTTGATGGTTCCTTTTTGGGTGATTACACTAGGATATATGACTATTGTCATGAACTGCTAAGAGCCAATCCAGGGTCAACAATTAAGATAAATGTTGAACCTGTTCCAGAAGGTGTTGAGGATCGGAGACCATTTTTTAAAAGGCTTTACATATGCTACAAAGGGTGCAAGGAAAGTTTCAAATTTTGTAGGCATGTGATAGGATTGGATGATTTCTTTTTGAAGGGGCTTTGTGGAGGTAAAATTCTGGAAGCTATAGGAAGGGATCCTAATGATCAGATGCTTCCTATAGCATTTGCAGTTGTTGAAGGTGAAAATAGAGATAATTGGACATGGTTTTTGAAGCTATTGATTGATGATCTGGGAGGTGAACATGAATGTCTCTAATACACTTTCATTTCAGACCAACAAAAGGTGCACTAAATACATCATTGACTCTTACATTTATCTGATTATTTTCTTGATAATTTACTGTTAGTTATAAATGTTTTTTGCAGGGACTTTTACCTGCAATGGAAGAGTTGTTTCCCAATATTGAACATCGATTTTGTGTTAGGAATCTGTATAACAATTTCAAGAAGAGGTATCCTGGAAAAACATATAAGAATCTTATCTAGAAGGCTTCTAAATCTACATACTCACAAGCTTGGGTGACTGCTCAATTAGAACCTTGAAAAAGTTGTATACTTGCTATTATATATTTTTTCTCCAAAAACTAAACAATTATTAAGATATATTTTATATTATTATTATTATTATTATTATTATTATTATTATTATTATTATTATTATTATTATTATT